ATTAAGTGACAAATTTCAAAGAATATGAATGTAATTCTCTCAAAAAGTAATTGATGTAATTCACATAAAGAAATGTGCAGGCACAATACTAAGCCTGCAATTCCTCCAATGAAATGACGGTGCTTTTACAAAAAGAACGAGTGACATTTTAGTAATTCTTAGCACGATACACGAAACTATGATAAAACCATTTGATCAAGATTTATACTCTTAACAATTTTGTACCTTAATCGAACTAGCTTGTTATATTCATTCATTTGATAAATGGTTCAAGCGTTAATTGAGTAAAATTTGACATGATACCACTTACATATCCGTACGTCATGAATTACAGATATTAAATGATTATTCTTAAGACAAATTCGTCAATTTAATATAAGCTGTTACAAAATTAAAGGTTATGAATTTAGTATTAAGAGGTTCAAATGATGATACGATTTATTTATTATACACCGTTAATAAATAAATTATTTATAAATTAATCAATTTTGATANTTATCACTCAATTTCTCTAAGACTAAAAGTCCACTAATTCTGCGTAGAATTCGTTGGTCATATTTAGAATTGTGAGGACTAAAAGTAGATTCTCAAAATTATCTAAATAAAAGAATTTTGTGAAAAAAAGAACGAAATGATAAAAATAGGGCTGTTAGTCGAACGAGTTCGAGCCGAACTTGGAAAGTTTGTTTTTTAATGGAGTCTAAAAAATTATTCAAGTTCAGCTCGTTTAGCAAACGAACTGAGCCTGAACTAGCTCAAAACAAGTCGAGCCCCGAATATTTACACATAAACGAGTCAAGCCTGTCAAATTTGAGCAAAACTTGTAAGACTTGTTTTCTAAACGAGTTTAAAAACTTATTCAAGTTTAGGCTTATTTAAAAAATGAATCGAACTTGAACGATCCAAGCTCGAGTAGATCAGTTTGATTAATAGACGTAGATAGAAATCGAGAATCGAAGTACGAACGAAGAGTCAAAGAGTCTAAGAAGACGAATGACGTGGAAAATATGACTGCTAAAGTCATGTTTTGATGGTTTTAAAATCATACTTACAACCCTATATTTTATGAAAATTTCAATGGAGGTAAGATTCAAATTTTTTTAAAATTTTCAAAATTTTATCTAGGTCCCAAACTTTTTTAAAATTCTAGTGGAGACAGTTGCCCACGTTGAAGATCCGCCACTACTTCTTTTGTGCACTAGAAGGTGTTAGGTTCAACTACCCCTTCCCCATAATAGATTAACCAAAAATAAAATGGTGAAAAATAGATTCGATTTATAAAGAATAGAATGGTGAAAAATAGATTTGATTTATAAAGAATAGACTCTTGACTTGTTTCTAGCGATTTGAAGTCAAGAATAGATTCTAGTTGTTTGTAGAAAATCAGTATTATTAAAATCGAATTGGACCGGTTCAACCTTGACCCTGAGCCTAGGCAGTTCGATTCTCTAATTAGATCACATAAGAGAATGAACCGTTAAAAAACTGTCAAACCGANGACTTGTTTCTAGCGATTTGAAGTCAAGAATAGATTCTAGTTGTTTGTAGAAAATCAATATTATTAAAATCGAATTGGACCGGTTCAACCGTAACCCTGGGCCTAGGCAGTTCGATTCTCTAATTAGATCACATAAGGGATTGAACCGTTAAAAAACTGTCAAACCAGCCGATTTTGACCAAAACTGGTGAACCAAAACATTTCTAAAACCATCCAGTTCACATCTTAATACCAACCGCCTCTTCGTCTTCGTTTTCTTTGGCACCGATTCTCTATATCCAGTACTCGAACAGCAACGGCCACCACAGATCTCCAAGAGTCGAACACCTCCACCACAAATCTCGTCTTCTCCTTGTCTATGTAAGTTGTCTTTTCCTTGTCTCTCTCTATCTCTTGGCTGGGTTCATCTAACAGTCATTGGCTGGATGCCTATACATTATACACACGCACACACATCAAATTGAAATCAAGCATGTAAATTATGCTTTAAATAATGTGATATGATTTTTATTTATATTATCATTGTAATTTTTATTTTGATTGTGGACTTTTAGTTAAATTATTATGTTTTATAATTTTTTTATTTTTTTTATTATACGACCGGTCTGACCAGTAAACACAATGATTAAACCAGTGAATCATTGATCCGGTTCTTCTACTAGTTTGATTTTTGNGATTGTGGACTTTTAGTTAAATTATTATGTTTTATAATTTTTTTATTTTTTTTATTATACGACCGATCTGACCAGAAAATACAATGATTAAACCAGTGAATCATTGATCCGGTTCCTTTGCTAGTTTGATTTTTAGTCTAATTCTAATAACATTGTAGAAAACGCTTGGGAAACCCATAGTCTAGACCCCTTCTGGAGAATTACTCTAGTGAATTTGGACTATTATAATTACACCCAGGCAAAATTCTTACGTTGGTCGTATTAATTTTAAAAAAAAGAAGACATTTTTCTTGTTTTAATAATGTTATTTTGATTAAAAANCTAGACCCCTTCTGGAGAATTACTCTAGTGAATTTGGACTATTATAATTACACCCAGACAAAATTCTTACGTTGGTCGTATTAATTTAAAAAAAAAGAAGACATTTTTCTTGTTTTAATAATGTTATTTTGACTAAAATNAACATTGTAGAAAACGCTTGGGAAACCCATAGTCTAGACCCCTTCTGGAGAATTACTCTAGTGAATTTGGACTATTATAATTACACCCAGGCAAAATTCTTACGTTGGTCGTATTAATTTTAAAAAAAAGAAGACATTTTTCTTGTTTTAATAATGTTATTTTGATTAAAAATTTTTATCAAAATTTTTATTTTAAGTAATAAGATACAATTTTTATCATCAAATAAGTGAACCCCGTGATAAAGATTGTATCATCTGACCCGAGATAAAAAAACATAATAAGAAATTAGATAAGTATGGCATTATTGGAGTTGTTTTTCCATTCTCAATTGCGACCACACGCAAAAAATTGATGACGTGGCACATACCGATTGGCAATAAAGTCAGGGATCGTTAATCTCGGCCCGGTGACTTCAGCAGACAACCTGAACAACGTGTCCGATTAGCGCGAAAATCGAGGCTTTGGCCCCCCACTACTTGCGTGTCAACCGTTAGAAGGGCCTAATCTCTTGCTTCACAAGTTTGAATGTAAAAGACATAATAACACATGGATAACGGTTTCAATTATTTATCCATAATAATAATATCATGTATAAATATGTTTAATGGATTTAAATAATATTTAGTTGTATTGGTATCAATTCAATTATTTAATAAATTTAATAGGTATACTAATTTGTCATTCAAACATACTAAAATTATAATTTCTATATCCTTTTCATGTAAATCGTATCCAACACTATAACGTGTCTATCGTATCAAAAATAAGTTAAAATTAGCCTCTTGCGTTAGGTAGTCGCCTAGCTATGAAAAGACAGAGTTGCCCTCAAACCTTGTCAATTTCCATCTCAATATTAATATTTTATTGTTTAAATTGTTTTGAAATATATTCTTTGTTTTGTTTGTTGTTAGAAGTGAAAAGTTGTATACCACATGAGAACAGTGTGCAGAATTGATAATATATAAAAAATGGATCAGCTATGTCTTGGTTAACATGAAACCTTTTGATCCTTTGCCATTGGAACAAATTTACATGAAGTGTAAGATTGAATCGAATTTTTTTTTACAAACTCTGCAATCTCTTTGAACATGTGCTTGATTCGAGATGATACAATCTAATCTTCCAACTCGTTTCTTATTCAACAGTTATTGTAAGTCAATTTTTGTATTGTAAGTTCAATTTGATTACAAAATTATTCAAATTGTATATAGAGGTACCCAACAAAAATCCCCCAACATATCACGTGGTTAAATTGACAGAAATTATTGAATAAACGAATGATATCTTGGTGCTATAGAAAAATTACTGTTTCTAAACTAATTGATTCGTCAACATAGAAGGTATTAATTTAACATTCACCAACTTGTAATTCAATATAAGTTAACGATATTTTGTCTCCTTCATTTTAAAAGAAATTACACTTTTTCTCAAAGGCTATGTGAAACTCTATAGAAGACATGCATCTTTCTAAAAAATCCAGAGAGACGATAATGAATGGTCGAGTAATATTTGAGGATCTATATCATAACATGAGTTGAAAAGCACTTTTGTAAGAGAGAGCTGAGAAATAAAAGAAAAATCTCGGAGAATCACTAGAGATAAATGAATAGAACTCCTAGTGCTGAAGTCTTTCTTATGGTTTAGCACGAAATGACAAACGTCTTTTATCTCTATAATTTCTTTGTATTTTTATCTATCCAAATTTGTAAATATTGTACATAGACAAAAAAAGAGATTAGTTTTTTTAAGGGGAAAAACATGGAAAATGGTATAAATGACATTCGAAAATTTGATGTTATTAAGAATTTTGACTTTTAACCTTTCACAATCAATTGTAACAAACATTCTGGTGACAACATTTTTGTGTAAGTTCCAAAAAGCACGAATTGTAGGTTTTTACGACGTGAGGGGTGTAAAGTGTCACAACTTCAAATCCTAGGGGGTGAAAAAATAATTTACCCAGATATTAAAACTGTAGCATTGTCTTATTCTAATGCCATATTTCATTTGAATGAGGTAGGGTGGCTTTGAGACACCATACTTGATAGGTTCAAGGCAGTAATGAATCGAGATCTTAGAAATTTCCACCTCTAGAATGGACACAAAGAGAGAGAGGGTATTGATTTGAGTCCCCACATAAAAAATTAAAATTTAGAAGTAAAAACAAAATAAAAGAATAAAAAAATGTGAGAATGAAACTTGTGTTTTTGAGTGGTGTGAGCACTAAAATCCATCGCAATGAATATACTTTCAGCAAAGAAGAATATAAAAAAGGATCAGTTAGTCACCACCTAAATCTCCTATGTCATGAATGATGAATAATAGCAACATGACAAATCAAGAAAAACCACAAGCACCATGACAAATAAGTGGTAGAAAATTTTTAACAAAAGAGAATAAATTTAAGTAATACATAGATTTTTTCACCATCAATATTCCTTTTGACACGAGGAAATCTATAGAGTTACAGACACAATAATAATAGTAACGCACGCTAGTGTTCCTGCACTGTCTCTGGGCCGGCCCAGTGCACGGAAACTGCCGCTGCAGAGTCTGGGGATGATCAAATGTACGCAACCCTTGCAAGCAGATTAAAATTTCTTCAATTTTTTTTTTTTTTGAAACAGGAAATTCAGTAATTCCAAATACAATCAAGATCTAATGGTCCAGCTGAAGTTGATGGAGCCCCTTGATCTTCAAATGAGTTCCTGCCTATTTCAAGATTTGACACAACAGAAGAGATTTCAGTGTTCATATCAGTGCTTAAACCTGTTTCTTGAGAGACACTAATCATTTCCTTCTCTGTTTTGAAACTCTGACTCATGTTTGGACCATAATTTTGAATCAAGTTCCTCAGAATTGCCTGGTCTTGGGATGGAAATGAACCCACTGGGTATTGCCAGTTTCCTTGAACTGGAACAGATTGAGCCAAAGGAAATGAGTCTGAAACAGAAATTCTTGGGAAAATTTCTGATGGATTTGAAGGGACAGAGAAAAGAGGATTGCTGAAGTAATTGATTTTCTCTTCCTGGTTTTTCTGATCAGCATCAATGGGATTGGAGAAGCAGTGCACGTGAACTGAAGGTGAAGAGTCTGTTAATGGTGGAAGAACAGAAGGGATCATTTCATTTTCCACAGAATTGAATTTCCCTAACCCTGAAATATGGACTTTCTTCCCTCCAGAACTCTTATGGAAGACCCTGCAAATCACCCAGTCATTCTGCATAGCAATAAAAAGGCTCATTAGCACCACCAATAACAAAAAAAAAGAAAAAAAAAAGTGCTCAGTTTACGAGACTCTAGTCACCTCCGAGTCTGGGAACGGTTTGATATACAACATAAATAATAGATTTAAATTAAGCAGGGGAAGAACTAATACCTTTGCTGTGTTGGGCAAGTTATGGAGAGAGAATTTTCCCTCTAATCTATATTCATGGCTGACCCAGTTGGATTTTTCTCCTTTTGGAGCTCTCCCCTCGTAGAAAACAAGGGTTTTCTTCATCCCAACCAGAGATTTTCCTCGAAAAATTTCCTTATCTTTTCCTGTGGCTTTCCAATAGCCAGTAGCAGTAGCTCTATTTGTTCTCAGACCAGTTGGGTACTTCTTGTCTCTCAAACAGAAAAAATACCACTCCTTCTCCCCTATTTTCGCTCTCCCTTCATTTTCCACCCAAAGTAAAAGAACAATAATTAATAACCAATCTTCCTACTTTCAGAGAGAAAATGAAAAAGAAAATATGGATTAATTGGAAACCTTACATGGTAATTCCCAAGGCTCAACCTTGTTCATATCCACATCTGCAATAGCCCTAGCAGAGAAGTCGCCATCAAGTGCCTTCTGGGAGAGATAGTGAGTGATCAGCTCTTCGTCGGTTGGATGGAATCGAAATCCAGGAGGCAATTCCATTTGATCATCTTCCTCAACAAGATTAGAATAATTTTCCATCACTTAAAGCCCTGTTTTCTATATAAACCTCTCTGATTCAGGAACTGGTTTGATCAAAACAAGCTAAAACTTTCAATCTTTAGCCTCAAAAATTGTATCCAGGTCCTTAGATTCCTCAAACTTCAAATGGGTTCTGACCAAACAGCTCTTTAACTTTCAGAATTCTTGATATCCCTTATGGAGATATCCAAATCTAACTAAGGTAGTGAGATATAATAAATACAAAGTGAATTGGTATTGAAGAATTGGAATGAAAGCTACGGGAAAGCTGGAAACAAATGGAAAAGAGAGAGAAAAAGAAAATCAAAAGCCATGGAACTAGAAAGTTTGTACCATGAAAGATAGAGAGCTGTTAAGAAAAAAAAGCAGTGTGAAGAGCAGAAGGCCATAAATACTGCTGGTGTTTGGAGAGAGAAACGTGGCTTCTAAGAAAACTGGGGAGGTTGTTTTGGCCTTCTTTTTAACTCTGTTGCAATAAATCTAACCATCTAAATTTGACCAAATACAAGGAATTTCAAAGCCAACATAAGATGCATGGAATTTCATAACAAACAAAACCCACCGGAGATAAATTGGCTAAGAATTCACTGTATAAAATCGAAAATATTAAGTTCAAGTTTTCTTTTAGAACCATGCCTAGGAACTTTTCTTGGTAACTTCCGATGCATGTGACAGGGGACCACATATGTGCGGAAGGATTAACCGGGTGTTGTAAGAAGCTCGAAAACGTTCTTATTAGCTCAAAATTAAAAAAAAAAATTATTATACCATCTAGAATTTATCAAATTTGATGTCATGAACATGTGTGGACAAATGAGACTTTGATGCAACTTTCTTAGCTGTTTCAGCTGCATATATACCAGAATAATCCAATATGCATTTTATAAGATTTAAAGGAATTAGGGAAATATAATGTCATTTTCCTTGTATAGAAACAAATGAGTGAAAGAAAACAGCTGTTTGCATGTATTGAGTATTTTGGAAGCCTTACATCATTATCTACCTGAAAATCAGCTTAAGTTCCATTGGTTCCTAATTACCATTTTAACCTCATTTGCTTTTCTATCAGAGAGAAAATGGGATGTTTTGAGACCGTCATTGCACAGAACTTCCATGCCACAAGTATCTGTACGCAACACGGGGTTGTGATGGTAGAGTAAACGTCTCTTGGAGGGATGAACACGTGTGATCACTCTTAATTTGGCGTCAAATTAAAATTTTCGTTATTTTTTAAGTGTCTGGTTATTATTTCTAGTCCTTTTATCGATCACCGTGAGATTCAATAAATTTTAGGTCTTAAAGTCGTAGTTGTCTTGACTTAGTGGTAGAGTTATCATTAATTACTATGGAATTAATAACTTATGAAAAGTCAATTACACGTATACCCAAATACACAATTTTCTTTCCTTTCCTTAATGAAAAGAGGACCATTGAGGATGCAATATACATAGAGTAATTTCTTGCTACCTACAGTACTCTTCCTACGCCCTAGATGAAGGAAAATAGGTCCCAAACTCTTTAATATACACGACTAAGAAAAGACTGCAAGAAATATGGATTGCATCAAGTAAAACAACCTCAAATAGTGATAAAATCTAGAGTTAACTAGTCATTTGATCTTTGACCTATATCTTTTGTGTCAATCAAGCCTCTAAACTATATTTTGTGTCAATTTACTCTCTAAACTATGTAATTTAATTTAATATAACCCTTCTGTAAAAATTAACCGTTAACTTTGACGAAAAGTCTCACGTGGTGCATGTCACGTGAGTTAGAGATTAGATAACAGTTTACGGGCGTCATATGCCGTGAACGTGAGAGTATAATTTAAGAGTTAAATTGAAATAAAATAAAATTTAAGGACTTAATTGATATAAATAATAATATAATTTAAGGATTAAATAAATAATTAACTCTTAAATCTATGATAAAAGAGATGTGAACACTGAAAAATATGCATAAATGAAGACTATGTGTGAAGGTAGATCACTACTTGATCAGGATAATGTTTTTGAGAATCTTGGAAATGGGAAAATGGATGGCTAAAAAGAAGACACTCTATTCAAAAAGCATTTCAATTATTTAAAGCAAGTTTATCCGGTGGGTTCAACCAAATCAATTGGTCTTCCAAGTCTTTCTTAATTGTATTACTACCCATAACACAATGAATGTTTTCTGGGTTTTTATTTTGTTTATTATTATTATTATTATTATTTTTTGGGGGGGAGGGGGGTTGTTTGGGGTTTGGTTGGTGATTGATTTGATTTAATCTTCATGCATGGAGCATGTCAAAGAAAAGAGGTGTTTTATTCAAGATAAAGGATTTTAACCTTATCCAGTTTCACTGGTGATGAGATTAAAAATTGAGCGTCTGCTATATTGTAATCGATTTTTAGTAATAAATCGAGGCTTTATTAGATTGTAATTTTTCCCCATGTTGATAGGTATATAGTCACTTTAATTTGTAAAGTATTTTTTTTCTAGCAAAATTAGATTTTTGTTTTAATAAAAGTGCTTCAAAAAAAAGTTACCAAATAATGCACAAGTATTCAATTTAAAAAAAAAAAAAAAAGTTGTCAAATCCTTTGCCTTCTTTTTCTTGTTCTGCTTGAGTGTGTTTGTGTCATCCGAGAAACTGGTTCTTCTTTACTGTGGTGTAAATGGACAAATACACATAGCAAATTATTTTTTCATACAAAATTACCAAATTGCCCTTGCATTTTTCTTTGGGATACCTCTGCTTGTTCCATTTTTATGCTCATCACTAAATTTGAATCCAGAGCACAAAAAATGTCTTATTCATAGTAGTCGGACATGTTATTTATATATCAATTCACCGTAAAAGATGAGAATATGAATTCAGTAATATATTATGTGGGTATTTCTCTCTCTCTCTCTACACATATACACACACATACGTGCACGTGGGTATATAGTGATGTTTTTTAAAATCTTACATGTAATGATCCATAGATCATAGTGTTGCTTGTTTATGTAACTTTTATTGTGATTTTTGGAATTTTGCTAGATGAGTTTGTTGCTTGTTTTATTTTATCTTTATTTATTATTATTTTTAATTTTTGGTATTTTGCATGTTTAGTGTTACTACCATATATTCTTCTTTCCCTACTAAAGTCTTATACATTTAGAAAACATAGCAAATGAGCATGAAAATATTTGTTGGTTAGAAGATTCCAGAGCCAGCTCCAACAGAAAGTCATCGAAGTTGTCGCTTTAGACCCCACCCACGATTAAGGCCCCCATATTCTATGCATGTCAATAGTATAATTTAGATCAAAGCTTTATGCTCTACTAATAGTCTAACCCCCAAAATGCCACCCCTATAAAAGTCCAAGTCTCTGAAAATATAATATTTAGGCTTAAGATAAAATATAATTATTTACCTGAATATATATATTTAGTCGACCCGGTTGATTATTTCATTACTTGATAAATAATAGGTTTTTTCATATTTTACGGTATTATTTCTTATTTTATCGGAATGGATAAATAAATATATAAATATGAATTTAACTTTCTTCTAATATATATATTTTTTTCATAATACTCACTTGTGGATGACCCAACATATATACATTATGTCAACGAACTACGAAATTAAGAAAAAATATATTTAAATCAACTTAAAGGACGGCGGCAAATTCAAAACTCCTTAAATACATTTTACCCCAATGACAGATCGTCTATCATAGCTTTAGAAGAGATCTACTATTAATAAATAGACTTTTACATATATATATATATATATATATATATATATAAAGTTTATAAAGTTAATAGTTTATCAAATTGAGTTGAACACCTCTAACCGTTGAACTGAAAAAAATATATAGATTTACTGTAAAATATTTAATATGAAGTGTTTCTGGATTGCTCTCATCTTTTATTAATTCAAAATTTCCCGGATTAATATTTGTCATCTAAGAAGCCAATGAGCAGATGCCTAATCAGAGGTTTGTTGGTAAGAAGAAACATTTTATTTAGAATAAAAAAAATGTACCTTTGGTCAAGCTAAACTAACTCGAGGATTGACTGTTCACCCCTGGTTAAGCTTAGTTAGCAAGTGAGTTTTGTTCCTTTTGTCCCAACATGTGGCATGAAAAGCAGCATGTACACGTGGCAAACCACGATTTGTCAAAAAGCCCTAAAACTTAGGAAAATATTATTAAGATTAAGATTGGGATTAGGATTAGAATTAGGCAGCAGTCAGCTGGTAAAAATTCTTTGTGGATATGCTTTTGGTCTTTCAAACCTTCTATGCCACTGTTCCATAATAATATTCAATTCAATGATTGATCACTTCATGGGATTGCCTAACTCTCACTTTGATTCAAAGTAGTGGGGTGTATACAATATTTAACATAGGTATACTGTTGTATTTTAATTATGTTTTTCAGAGTTTGATTAGTGATCAAATAAATAATTCAGTGCTTAAGAATAATTTTTTTTTTTTTTTAATGTTGACCGGCTGTGGTTGAAAAATGTTTACTCCTTAGTAGCTCTACTTTTATTACTAGATTGAGACAAGTTTTTTTTTGACACGTGTCATTAGATGGATTAATTCAATTATAAACCAAAATATTTAATAGTTGAACAAAGATTTTTAGTGTCGTTAGGATTGTTAAGAAATATATGATTATTTTGTTTATTAAGGGTAAAATAGTCATTTACTTTCCTTACCTTGTTTAGCTTATATATAGTCTCTTTATATTTAGGTTAATTTATTTTCTTGTATTCAATCGAATTATGCAGTATCAATAAAATCCTAACTTCCTCTTTTCTTATCTCTTGTATTTCTTTAGATTGTTCAACTTAGTATCAGAGTAAAGTTTCATGGGACAAGACTTAATCTTAAACACAGTTTACGCGGATCCAACTTTTTGAGAATGTATTTGTTTCGTTTAAGCAATCTGGTATTTATTCCGTTTTTTACAATCTGGTATTTATTTCGTTTTTGTAATATGGTATTTGTTCCGTTTTTGTAATCTGGTTTTCTTTGTTTGTTGATTATGGCTACTGCAAGAGACGATTTGCTTCAGTCTGTGAGTGTGAGGTTGGATGGAAAGAATTATTCGTATTGGAGTTATGTGATGAGAAATTTTCTTAAGGGTAAAAAGCTATGGAGATATGTTAGTGGAACTTCTATGAAACCTAAGAATACTGATGCGGGTTATGTTGATTTGATAGATGTCTGGGAAGCAGACTATGCAAAAATTATTACTTGGATCAACAATTCTGTTGAACATTCTATAGGTACGCAGTTGGCAAAGTATGAGACAGCAAAAGAGGTTTGAGATCATCTATAAAGGTTATTCACTCAATCAAATTTTGCAAAGCAGTATCAATTGGAGCATGACATATGAGCTCTTCAGCAGAAGAATATGAGTATTCAAGAGTTTTATTCTGCTATGACAGATCTTTGAGATCAATTGGCTCTTACAAAATCGACTGAATTAAAGGCATGTGGTGCCTATATTGCTCGTAGAGAGCAGCAACAGTTGGTACAATTTTTAATGGCACTTCATAGTGATTTTGAAGGACTTAG